CTGATTAGTCGACTAATCGCAAAAATAATTGGTGACTAGTCGACTATCAAAATAATCGTTTGTGGCAGCCCTAGTCACAACACACTTCACTTTGATCACAACTCCAAAAACACTCACACTGAAAGTTTCCTCTCAGACTTGTTTCAATCCCTCCACCACCCCAGCATCCACCTGTAGCCTCCAGGCAGACGTTTACTCATCATGCACCAATGTTTACATCCATCATAAAAAAACAGCAAGCCCGGAGTCTAAACACCAAACTCTAAATTTAATCTACTGCTGTGACAAATCAGTCATTTCAGACATGAGCCGTCTGAACGAGGAGACGCTTGGCTCTCCTAGCGCCATTTAGCTAGGAGCAACGCACCAGACCACCTGACGGCACCCTAAAATACATAAAAATGGGTGTAACAATAGGCAACAGTGTTGAGCAAATCACATAAAAATACTGCAGAGTTGTAGCACAGCTGTATGCTTTATTTTTAGCATCTTTCAGTCAGAGGGAGCTGAAAGGATTTGGAGCGCTGTCTCAGGGCTGGTTTGATTTTAGAACCTGAAGTAGCGTTTGGACCCGTAAATGTATGACGTCAGACTTTCCAAGCAGATAAAATAACCCTACATGTGCGTTAGACCACAACTATCTCTATTTTATCCTGTGTGAATGTGAAATTTCAGTTAAAATAAGGTGACCTCTCATTCTTCACTTTTCCTTCCTTTATTCCTCTCTCCTAGCTCTGTGTCCTTCTTCCTTTTCTAGTTTGACTTGAACCCTAACCCTCCTCCCACATTTTTATTTCCCCTCTTTTCCTCCGTTTATTTCCACCATGTTCTGCTAGAAGCTGCATGAGAGGGAGAGGAGTGCACGAGCTCTCCTCCTCCTTCTTATTTTATTTATTTATTCTTTATCCGTCAAAGCTCCTGCAGCGTGTGCGCGCAGTGGAAAATGGAACATAAGTCTAATGAGAAGGAGGCAGAGGGAAGGAGGGAGGGAGGCGCGCACACGAGGCCCGAGGAGGACGACGAGGGGAGGAAGCCAGCCAGCCAGCCAGCCGCGCGCATGCTCGAGACAGCAGGTGCCCGAGCCCCCGATGAAGAGGGGAAAAAAACTAATTTGCATTGCTAATGAGCTCCTCTCTCAGCCTCCTCCCCCCTCCATTTTGGGGGGCAAAAAAAGCTTCTAATATGGCGACATGTTTTTAAATCGTGTGCCCCTTCGTCTTTCCTCCCAAACACACCAAAGGAGGGGAAAACGTTTAAAATCCTACCACCATGTTGCAGTTTTAAAGGATGATTCTGTAAGTTATGTATTTAAAAAATCCAAATCAGAGCTGAAACACTGCAGAAATATGAACAAAGCGATAAAAACATGATGATCCAGAAGGTCAGCAGACTTCAGTGTTGACTACACCTGCTGCAGACACATTTCACATCGATGCAGGAAGGACAGAAAAATATCAACGCAAACATTCGCATTCAGCTCCAACTGGACCCAGTTCAATGTGTCTTTATGAAAAGCTTACACGGGGAACAATGGACGGCACATGGGCCCCCAAAACAACCGCTAAATGGTCGATTAATCACCACCTGGTAATTTAATCGCAATCAAGATAAGCAGCAAATGAGTGAGGGGTTCATGGCTTTACGATCAACAACAACAGAGAGAGGGGGGCTCGCAGAGAATCCGTCACTGAGCAAAACAAGTGAAGCGCCAGATTCCCAACAAGCACGTCGTTGTCTATTGTTGGAGGAAGAAAAGACTGGCATACTTCTCACTTTTAACCCCCAGCCTCGACGCATCAGGGCCAACAGGACGGGAAACAGCCGATAGTGACACTACATACACGAGTTTTCCCGCTTTCCTCGCGCTGACCTCGTTTACGTTTCTCACGTGCACGCTGGGCTCTGATTGTGATGTGATTCTGTCTGTCGCCATGTGCGCACCATTTTTTTTTTTAAACACGCGCTTCATCGAAAATGGCTTAAAGACCCTCACGCGCCCTCTCCCCTCCCCGCCCCCTTTCCAGTCTCTTTTCTTCCTGCGCGCGCATTCAGACTGAGATTCTGTGTTTATTGCGCTCGCTGCTACCCGGGCGCGTAAACAACCTCACGCGCCTCGACGGGTTGTTTTTTAAATTATTATTATTTGTTCTAATTCACTGATTTTATTTTTGTGGTAGGATATTCTCCAGACTGCACGCGCTCAAAACAGAAACACACACAGGCGCGCGCGCGCGCAAGTAGGAGAAGATGACAGACACACATGTCAGAGCCACAGGGACCGACCTAACCGTCCGTCCCGGAGAGCAACAAACGCCCCTTGGAGCCGCGTGGAAGAACGAAGAGACATTAGCAGCTCCGTGTGACATCAAAGTATCAACCGCAAGCCCCGCGCGAGTATCATCACCTATCACACACAGCTCCTGTGGGGCTCCATAACGTCACAAAAACACGCCAACCATCCTGTGTTTCCCCCCCTTCATTTAAGAAAAAAATCTATGTAAATAAAGATATATAAACGTGTCTCTTTGCAAACAGACTCAATTGGATCAAAGGCTTTTTGGGCACAAGCGCGCGCGACGTCGCCAAACAACAGCCCCCGTTCATTGTCCCCCTCTGCAACCGTCACCGCCGACAAAAACAAGCCCTCGCACGAGGACCCCAGATCAGCACACCCTCACTACCCCGCACGCCACCACCACCACCTCCACCACTACTACTACCAGGTTAATATGACCGTTAAAGGCTAATTACCCGCCGGCTAATCGCCATTAAACACACTCCTGCGACCTGTAGCCTCCAACTGCAGCCGAAATAAAAGCCTCCGCTCATTAAGAGGTGAGCAGGAAAACATGAATAAGACGCCAGAGATGTGCCACACGGCAGAGTGATGGTCAGAGTGGAGAAATGCAGAAATAAAAGAGGCAAACAAACCTCCTTTCGTGTGCGTAAATCCGTTTCCAGGCGCGTGGACAGAAAGGTAATAAGCTTGTTGTGTTGGACGGGAAAAGACGCTGCCGGGGCTAAATCCTACCAGCCATCCCCTCTCTCTCTCTCTCTCTGTTGCTCGCTCGCGCTTCTGCCTGCGTCGTCGCTCTCTCTCTCTCTCTCTCTCTCTCTCTCAGCCAATTGTGTGAGATGAAATTGGCGCGAGGGGTTGAGCAGCGGGACGTTGGCAGGTTCTTCTCTCTCTCTCTCACACACACACACACACACACACACGAACCGTTCACCTCTCAACGTTATTTGGTTGCCCCTAGCAACCACGAAGACCACCACCCCTTCTGCGCCCCTTGTCCAGGAGCCCCATCATCTCCACCCTCACCACCATCACTTCACCCGACTCCACCTCCTTAGACTGCTCAAAAAATGTTTCTGAGAAAATGTGAAAATGATTTTTCTCTCCCTCGGTGCGAGGGATGCGCGTGCAAACTTTGAATTAAAAGAGAGAGAGATGAGTGAGAGACAAAGGGAGCAGATGGAGTGAGATAGCGGCGCTCCTCTGTGCGCCAGCAGCTTACAACTCTCCCTGTGGTGGCTGCTCCATTCACGCTTCACGCATTGTTTTCCATCTTTGTGTGTGTGTGTGTGTGTGTGTGTGTG